AGAGAGAGAGAGAGAGAAAAAGACTGATCAAATAGCTGGAGACAGAACCCAGAGAGAGAAAGAAAGATAATTAGGCAAAGATATAGCTGATGATAAGCCAGGGAAGGAGAAAAGCTGATAATGGGGACAATGAGTTGGTGAAAATGGGTTGGCTGTGCTGGAAGCAGCCCATGTCATTTACAGAGCCTGGGGTGGGTAAAGGACATAGAAGGTGCTGTTCAGGCCCTAAAAATCACTGAATTCTATGTGTAGTCCAGAAAGCTGCAGGGTCCCCTAGCAGAAGATGAGATGCTATTCTTTCAGCTTGCGCTGAGCTTCACTGCAGCAGGCCCAGAGCAGAAATGTTGGCCAAGTATGGTGGTATGTTGAAGTGGCACCTCAATGGAATCAAGATTAACTCTGTTTCATTAACAGATGTTGCCATCCCTGTTGAGTTTCGCCAGCACCGTTTTTGTTTCAGAAACTTATTTCAATTGTGTCAGTGAATTGCTAATAAGTGGACACAGCATAGAAATTAGTACACGTAGTATGAAAGGGGAGAAATCTTTTGAAAAAGAATTTTTAAAAAACATAAGTATTACTAGAAGGGATTACAACAGCCCAAATCAAAAGAAAAATATTAAAGTATTCGAAGAGCAGAAGAACAGATTTACAACTGACTGTGAGCTCCAGAGAGGGAGGTGGTGGCACTGTGCCAATGTCACTGGGTTGGTAATCCAGGAACCAGGGCGAATACTGGAGGGGTTAAAATTCAAATATCATCATTGCAGCTAGTGGATTTTTAGAATTAATTAATAATTTAATTTGTACAGCGGGAACTTTAAGTTAATCTTTGCAATGGTGACTGTAAAAATTATCATAAAAAGTTATCTGATTCACTTTGATGAACTGCCCTAATTTACCTGTGGTCCAATGTAACATTTCTGTGAAGCAGAAAGATAATTAGGCAAAGATATAGCTGATGATAAGCCAGTGAAGGAGAAAAGCTAATAATGGGGACAATGAGTTGGTGAAAGTGGGGATGTTTTAGCATATTAAGGTACAATATGAATGCAAGTAGTCGATGTGGCAGTGAACCAGTAGGGTTTTTACAATAATAGAAATCTTTGTGGCTACCATTGCCAGCACTAGCCTTCTTATATTCAGACTTCCAAAAAAATTAATTAAAAATAAAACTGAATTTTCATATTGGCGGCATCTGAACTGTTTCTCTCATATTAGGCCAGTGGCATAATCACACCAGAGTGTATCATGCAATGACCTATCCCCTGTTGAAAGTGGAAATCTGTACAATCCGTTAAAAACAAAATTGTGAAAAAAACTACTCACTCGGTCAAACAATTGCTAAATCAGAAACAGCGTGTTATTTAATTATAAACACAAGAAAACTGTTCTACTACATACCACGTTTTAATCGCTCCATTGCACTTTTACTGCCAGCGTAAGTTGGTCGAATGTCTTTTCCCAGCTCTTCAATTATAGTAAGCAGCTCTGCATATTTACTCTGTGGTGCCTGATTACTGCTCATTCCCTAACAGAAGAAAGAATTACAGGTCAAGAAATGTACAAATCACATTGAAAGTTCAATATGGCTAGTAGCAATGACAAGTAGAAAACATCAACCTGCATTTATGTCATAGGATGTTGTTTGGCCCATTGTACCCATGCCACCTCTGTGAAAAGCTTCTTAGACTTGTTGACACAAGTCAGTTTTTAAACTGGGAACTGGAAAGTCAATCGATGTCTCAGTACAAATTATGAAATACGGCATTAGGCATTGTTCTCCTCTTGCTTGATCCCACCTACTACCACCACTGATTGGCTGCTTTGGAGAACGAACTGGACAAGGTTGGACTTCCAGATCTACAGTAACAATTGCTTCTCACTGAAGGATGGTTTAAGTGCCAAATTTTCCATTTCCTCCTGTCTCGCTGATTTGCAGAGGAGAGGATGATTATTGATGTCAGTGACATCTGGAAGTGGAGTACGCAACTCCAACCTGTGAATTAAATGGAGGATTTCAATCTAGTTCCCACTGGCACAGGCTGCTGATCCCAAATCCAGATGGAAAAAGGTTCTGTAGCAACATGCCAGGATTTGGAGGGATGGGAGAGCAGGATAACACATACAGGAGAAACCGCAATGTTACATATACTAACTGCATTGAATATTGGAAATTGATTGTTTCTATATTTCTTGGCAATTTACTTTCACAAACAGCAAGAGCTTCTACTCTGCTCCTATATGGGCCAAAGAGGAGGAGATTGAGCACTTTAGGGAATGCGAGCCCAGCATGGCTAAGCACTTAAAGACTGTTGGACTTTTATTTCTTTATTTTTCTACCTTGTACCTACTATTTTGTACCGAGGCACCTTTAGCACTGGGAAGGGTGACGTTGTGCACTTTTCACTGTACTCACTCATGTATTTCTATACTTGAGTACACGTGACAATAAAATCTAACTCTAATATCTTATGGTCTCATGGGGTATAGAATTTTCAGGCAAGAAAGGGGAGGGTGTAAAAGAGGTGGTGGTATCCAATATTAATTAAGGAGTCAGTTTCATAGAATCTCTACAGTGTGGAAGTGGGCCATTTGGCCCATCATGTCCACACCGATCCTCTGAAGAGCATCCCAGCCAGACCCAACCCCCTACCCTATCCCTGTAACCCTGCAAATCCCATGGCTAACCTACCTAGCTGGCACATCTCTGGACACTACGGGCAATTTAGCATGGCCAATCCACCTACCCTGCATATCACTGGACTGTGGAAGGAAACCAGAGCACCCGGAGGAAACCCACGCAGAAATGGGGAGATTGTGCAAACTCCACGCAGACAGTCGCCCGAGGCTGGAATTGAACCCAGGTGCCTGGCACTGTGAGGCAGCAGTACAAACCGTTGAGCCACTGTGCCATCCCCAAGTTGTGCAGTAAGGAGGGATGCTATCCTGGATGAGTCTTCAGATAAAGCTTTGTGGGTTCAGCACAAGAATGAAAAGAGGAGACACATTTTTGGGAGTATGTTTGGGGGTCTATGATAGTCAGTGGGCAATAGAGGAGCAGATACATAGACAATTCAGTGAGGTGTCCAAAAACAATAATTACTTGTAATTATAGTCAGTATTTTAAATAATATGGGGATCTCAACTTCCCCAACATCAACTGGGATTGACCTAGCATTAACAGCTTAGAGAGGACAAATTTCTTGAAATGTATTCAGAAAAGCTTTTTAATGTTAACATGTAGAAGGGCCAACAAGGGACAGTACTAGACATAATTCTGGGACACCAAGCCAGACAGGTATTCAAGATGGCAAACAGAGAACGACAGGCAGCATTTTAGTGATAGCGACAACAACATACGTTTTAAGTTTGTTATGGAAAAGGAAAAGAACAGTCTGCAAAATAAAAAAAATCTTGGATTGGAGTGGTGCGGAGGGTGGGTGGTTGGAGGAAGACAGGGTTAATTAAATAAGACTGGATCTGGCCAACATAGAGTGGGATAGCTGCTTCTTGGCAAATTTACAGAACGATCGGGGTTGTTCAAAAAGGTACTGGGGGAGTACAGTCCCAATATGTTTCCTTTCGGGTGAAATGTACAAGCCCAGAGAACTCAAACATCTAGGAATATTCAGGACTAGATAAGAAGGAAAACAGGCTTTTAACAGGTACAAAGAAAGTAAAATCAACGGAGGCCCTAGTTCATTTTTTTAAAAAACAATTCACTCATGAGACATGGGCATCGCTCAAGTGAATTTAAAAAAAGTAGAGAAAGTTTAGACAGTGAACTTAAGAAAGCAACTAAGAGAGCAAAAAGATGACAAGAAAAATCACCAGCAGGTAAGATTAGGAAAAATCCCAAGATATTCTGTGTCAAGGGAAAAAGGATAACCAGGGAAAGAATAGGCCATTAGGGACCAAGGGGCCAATCTGTGCATAGAATCGGAGAAAATCGGTGGGGTGTGAAATGAGTACTTCACTTTGGAGGAGGAATTAGATACAGTATTTGGACAGAGGGACTTAGAGGTTCTTGAGCAATTTGACAAAGGCAGCTGTTATAGTCATTTCTTGACAGTCCATAAAACACCAGATTTAATCAGTATCTATGAACCTTTTGAACCTATGACCAATTGGTTAATGGTCCTAACCACTATACAACTGTACCCTGTAATGCAAATAATTATTTTACCATACCTGTAAATAACCCATAGAGGGTGGTCCATAGTCATTGATCAGTGGTCTAAATGACTGCACTGAGCTCCCCATACTTGTCGAAGGAGACAGAACACTTCCAACTGTTGGAGAAGAATTTGCATTAATGATACATCAGTTTGCACACTCTGAACTCTCAGTTTCTTGTATCAAACAGTACAAGTTGTTCATCATATTACTCTATAAAGAGAAAAAGCTCTATCTCCTCAGGTACTTTATTGAAAATGCTGCAGCTTCAAAGCAAGCCAGTATATCCAAAAGTCCAACTGTGCACAAGCTAGTGCAGGGAAGTAAACAGCCAAACCAGATCCTGGCTACAAGCTAGTCTGTGCATACCACCTGCAATAAGTAGAAAGAAGTGCTGCAATTTCAGATTAAGCACCCGCAAGTACAGTGAGACAATGAAAGAAGTTCAGTATTCAGGGTTAAGAATGGTATTCAGTGACACCTGTTGACTTTGTGCGCGCACGCACATGGAGGGAGGGTAGCACATCAGGTGATCCTTGACCTGGTCCCCTAGCCTGGGATGGTACCTTTAGGAGAGCTGTCAGCAAAGTGAATATCCAACCCATTCTAAGATTGAACAAAGGAAATATCCACAAACACCAGTCTAATAACACCCATATTTTGAGCACACCAGTACAGTACTAAGCTATACACAGATCATATACTGTCTCGAACAGTCCTCGCAGCAGGTCGCTGGGCACACATCTGGCCATGCGCTATTCCTGCCAAATCAACTTGATGAATTGAAGACCACCAGGAATTAGTGAAAAGTAGCAGGTTATTTTTGAGGGAACACAGAAACTGTTGTTACTTCCATTTTCAAAGCTATCATAAAGATAGCCAGAATCAAGGTAAACTTCAGATTGTTTAAATTTAACTTTAAAAACCGCATTACTTTACTCTGTTAACCATTTTTGCACTAGGGCCTTGAATTTCATGACAGATAAAGGACATTGGAGATAAAGGAAATTAGAATCTTATACAATTTCCTCTTTATTAGCAACTTTAGTTCTTGGTAAGCACACAATCAACACGCTGTCTGTTTGACTACAATCTAGATACCAACCTGTATGTGGTAAACTGACCAGGTTCATTCCGAAAAGTCTGTTCTTCTGAAGTTCAGAACTCAGGGTCTTCTCTTCGCAATGGTTAGTCTCGAGCAACGTCATGCCTCCTTTGCACAAGGCCCTCATCACTCTGAGCACATTTGTCCAAGGGTCGTGTAAACAGGAGATGTGTTTCCATGGTCCTCTTATAGCCTTATTTTATCCCATTTTGCAACCAGTGGTCAAATAACCTTTAGGATCAGCAATGTGCCTAGTTGGCAGACTAGTTTTACTATTTCCAGCAAGTTGATCTGGTGTTTATGTAAACTCAGCATCATTTCCCATCGTGCTTATTGAACTTCAACTGTTATCCATGGGGCCACAGTTACCCATAAGATCACAACCCTGTAAAATTATGTGACCTGAGGTAGTGTGGGATACCGAGTAGAAATTATTAGTCAGCTCAACCAGTGCAGTAATGACCCAATCCAACCTGGAAAGGTTCTCAAGTGGCACCCAGTGCTTCGACGCCAACTTAGTTTTAAATAGCAGTAGCAACATAAAATAGCCCAAGGCATGTAAAATATGACAGTGAGCCATTGAAAAATTTCCTCCATCATGTTGATGTTGGTAAGCTTTTGATTATCTAACATTAAGAGAAGTATCCCATTCAGTTCTTCAAGCCTGCTCAACCATTCATTGAGATTGTGGTTAATCTATTTGTGCTCCAAGTTCCACATTCCCATCAACTTCCAATGACCTTTGATTTCTTTGCCTAATTAAAAATCTATCTCCATCTTAAAGATATTCAATGATCCCATCTCCACTGTCTTTTGCAGCAACGAGTTCAAAAGTTGCATAGCCACTCAGAAAAGAATTCTCATCTCTGTTTTAAAAGGGTGATGCCTAATTTTAAAAGTGTTCCCCCAGTTCTGGACTGAGCTACAAGGGGAAACGTCCTGTCCACACCCATTTTGTCTAGGCCATTCAGGATCTCATACAGTTCAATCAAAACACCCCTCACTCTTCTAAACTCCAATGGAAACAAGCCCAAACATATTTTCAGAAGACAACGTTTTCATATCAACGTTGCAAACTTCTTCCAATACATTCACACACTTTTTTTAAATAAGGATACCATAACTGCACAGAATATTGAAGATGTGGTCTCACAACTACCTTGTACAACTGAAGCATAATATCCTTACTTTTAAGGAATGCCTTAAAGGAGTAAATCAAGGCTTTAGGCAACTGAAGGCACAGCATCTCATGCAGGTGTGTCTAAAAGAGGCCAGAAATAAAGGAGCACAGAAATCTTATAAGGTTTAGGGCTGCAAGAGATTATAGAGACAAGGAGGGGCAAGGGCACAGAGGTATTTGAAAACAAGGACAAGTTTTAGATGACTTCAAGATCAGAGGGTAGAATACAGGGGACCAGCCAAGAGTGCATCAGAATAGTTGAGTCTGGAGGTAAAAATGGCATGAAGAGGGTCAAGTAACGTTATTCTAATATTTCTCAAAGTAGATATTTTGAGCACAAATGCAACAGCAGAGGAGATCATTCAGCCCCACCATGCCAATGCTGGCTCTTTATTAGAGCTGTCCAATTTGCTCCATGCCTTGACTTTCCTCATAACCCTGCAACTGTTTCCTTCAAGTGTGAAGTAATGGTGCACTTTGGTCAGAAGAATTATATAAAATAGGGGCTACAATTCTGAGGAGGTGCAGGAGATCATTGAAGGTGGCAGGACAGATGGAGAGAGCAGTAAATAAAGCATATGGCATTCTCAGCTTTATTAATTGGGGTGTAGAGTACAAGAGCAAGGAAGTGACATTGAACTAGCACAATATTCTGATTAGACCTCTGCTGGAATACAGTGGAAATTGTGGGCACTACATTATTGAAAAGATGCAAATAAATTGGAGACTGCAGAAGAGATTCACAAGGACGGTTCTGGAGAAGAAAAACTTCAATTATGAGGATAGATTGAAGAAGTTGGAAATAACACAGTGCGGAGCTGGAGGAACACAGCAGGCCAGGCAACATCAGAGGAGTGGAAAAGTTGATGGTTCGGGTCAGGACCCTTCCTCCAGCTCCACACTGTTATCTCTGACTCCAACATCGGCAATTCTTACTATCTCTTGAAGTTGGAACCGTTCTCCCTGGAGAAAAGGTGGCTGAGATAGAGCATTCCTGAATTACAAGTGGGCTGAGTACAACAGCTAGGATGAAGTTGTTTCTGTTTGCAAAGGAACAAGAACAAGGGGGTATTGGTCTAAAGTAACATGCAAATGAAGCAAGGTTGAGAGACTCCCCAACCTGCCCCACTCCACCCAGTAAGTTGTTAGGATGTGGAATGCACTGCCTGGAAATGTGGTGAAGACAGATTCAATTCAGGCATTCTAGAGGGCACTAAATGGTTCAAAAACAGAAGCTGCTGGAAATGCTCAGCAGATCTGGCAGCATCTGTGAAGAAAAAAAATTAGAGTTAATGTTTCCGATCTGGTGACCTTTCCTCAGAGCCCAGTTCTGAGGAAGGGTCACCGGACCTGAAACGTTAACTCTGATTTTTTTTCTTCACAGATGCTGCCAGACCTACTGAGCCTTTCCAGAAACTTCTGTTTTTGTTCCTGATTTACAGCATCCACAGTTCTTTCGGTTTTTATTTGGCATTAGATGGTTATTTGAATAGTAATGGTATGCAGGAATGCGGAGAAAATGCAGGAGATGGGCACTAGATAATCAAGCCAGTGCATTCACAATGGGTCGCAACGGCCTCCTTCTGCACCATAATAATTCTGCGACTCAAGTATTTATCAATGCCCTTTTGAATTTACTATCGAACCTGCCTTTACCACACTTCCAACCAGGTCATTCTGACTCATTATGTTAAAAAATGTCTTCCACCTTTTTTTGGCTAATTTGAAATGGTTTTAATCAGATTTCTGAGTTTACATCCTGAAGAAAACTTTTATTCTAATTTGCTGTCATCAAAACTTTGTAATTTAGAATGCCTCAATTAAACCCACTTTCTCTGCTCTGGGGAGAATGACACCAGCTTCCCCAGTTTCTCCATAGAACTGAGACCCCTCAGCCATGGCACTATTCCAGTAAACATCATATGAACCCTATCTGAAGGGCATATTACTTGCCTTTTTGAAAACCATACGTCATTGGTAAAAGTGAAGGGTAGGCTGAGACGAAAAGCTGTGTATCACAAGAAGGATGGGAATTCATACAACTGCTGCCTGTGCAAAACCATCTAAAACTCAGTAGTAGGCAACAGCATCTCTTGCTTCTCCATTACCTCAGTTTGTTGCTGCCATTCAGCAGTATGACATCATTAGAACATTCCAGATCATTTTGCAATTCAGTCAAATACTGCAGCAAATTATCAGGGACATTGAGCAATCAGAAGGAGCTTAACTGTGACATTAAAAGAGAAAAGCAAACAGCTCTTTTTATTCCAAACGAAGTTTATTATCATTGGCTGGGAAAAGTAAGT